GGGGGCGGGGCCGCCTTTCCCAGTCCCGGCTTCGGTTCCGCGTTCGAGACCACCGATACTCCACAGGGCAGGGCTTCGTCCTTTCTTTACCCTTTCCACCCTGTGCACCCCTCGTGCCCGACTTCCAAAAAGCCGCCCCGAGAAGCGTCTTCGTACAAACGAAGAAGAAGTTGCGGCCTCAGTGGGTCGCTGGGGATCTTCAGTAGGAATTGCGAGCGCGCGCTCTCCCTCACACACACATATACACACGCTGTCTTTGGAAGAACGGTCGGTGCCCGCCGGATGAAGCAATAACTCGGAGGCTCAGAGACAAAGTTGCGAGTTTTCGGTAAACATGCGTGAGGTTTACTTTCCGAAAGACCTGGCGATCGTCTTTTTTGGGTATCGACGACCGGAATGCCCAATGGAGATATGGGTCTGGAAGTAAAGAAGTCGCATAAGATTTCTCAGTAAGTAACATTATCGGTTTTCCTAATTTCACTATACAATTGAGGACGTGGAATTTTGCTTATTGATACGTACATTTCATTCAATCGTCATTTCATCAATCATCAACAATGAATTAAGTGAACTTCTTAACTTAAGTTTTCGTTTCACTATTTCACAATTGGTTGGTACTATATTGAATCCATCAAGAAACATTGATGACACGAAACTCTAGTGTGGTACAGGCTTTAACTACAAATGTAACGATTACTAACAAAGTACATATTTTGTTTAACCTGGTCGACAATTTTAAATGTGAAACTCTGACAACAATAAAACCAGAGTTTCCAGTTCCAGCTTACTAACATGTAGGTGGAGGGCGTTGGAAATAAAACCGCGGTGATCGCTTTATCGACAGGGACGATTTCTTACATTATTACTGACATTATGCATTGCTATATTGTAGCTGATTTACTTAATTTCTAGATTTCGTTTGAAATTTAAATGAATACTGGAAATCTAACTGGAAAGGGAGGCCTACATTATTTTGTAGTGAATCTAAGTCTATTTTGTAGTGAATTTAAGTGTACCAACATGACGACGTACTATTTTGTGGAACATAGACAACGTAGTACTATTAATACTTTATGTACAATTAACGCCTTTACTTCTCAAGACATGAACTTGAATAGTACCTCTATGATTTAAAATTAACGGCCTTTAATTAACCTTTGGCACGCTTTTAGTCTATAAGATTATAATAATAAAGCATGAAAAATGCCGCACGCGGTTGAAACAACTGATCTGTCCATCTCTACCCAAATGACCCGGGCATAAACCTGAATACAGCACTATCTCCCCTATGACAAGTAGAAATTCTGCGTCGTGCTCAATAAAGGGCGGTCAACGATCTTCGTTCTTCACAAAAGACATTAGAAGCACCGTAAAAGAAGGAACCGGTCATCAGCGAAGAGCATTGGGCGATATAGAACCTGTTCACAGTCCAGAGAGGGCACGTTCGGGGGTGAAAAGATGGAAGCCAAGAAATTCGGGATGTCGCTAATAGTGGAGTACCGTCGCAGTGGCAGCGGTACGTGAAGAGCGCGCCCAGATCAGCAGTGAATCTTGAAGGTTGAAATTACGGAGTGCACGCACAGGGTCCGATCCGAGAGACGAGGAAACGATCATGAACGTGCGGTGATTGTGGTGTCTACGGTGGTCGCTGACACAACTGAAGATAGCATGGACTGAAAATCCGGAGTTGGCATTCCGAAAGGCTTCAAAGGCGGAGTTGAGGCAGGGGAGAGGGGTGGTGCACGGGCGTGGAAGGAACTCGGGCCGGGCCAGGCAGGGGGGGGGGTCGCGGAGGGGCGTGGACTGCACCGTCAGCTGTCCAGGAGCCGTTCGCGAACGCGAGGTCCGGCAGAGCCACCCGCGGCAATCTACAGGGCACGCAGGGGCCGGCACGTCCGCACGGGTCGCGTTGCGCAAGGCAGTGACCTGCGAAGCGACACAACGTCCCCATTTCCCTCCTGCTGCGCAGCGAGAAAGGCGGCGAAATCTGCGCAAGCACAACTGGCCACGCGCGGTGGATGCGCCGGAGGCGAAGTAGTCCCTCATTAAATATTTAATGGTTTTAAGAATATGTGCACTTATTACCACATGTGTTATTCTCACATATTACCTGCATTTCTTCTAATACATTTAGTGGAAAGAACAAGTAAACGAAATAAAATGGAAATATTACTCACGTTTTCTTTCTGATTAAATATAATGATTTACATGCACGCGCTATCTTTTTTTTCTTATTTAAGGTCACATCAACTTCTAGGTCGTTAGCGACCACTATTGATTGCAACGATATAGTAACTGTGAGGATGACACGATATGATGATGATAGGGGGTGAAAGAAGAAACACAATACAACCATGCCCGAGGCGGGACTCGAACCCGCGATCCTTTTCGGTCCGAGATCGCTACGGCACTACTGCCTTAGCGATCTCGGCCATCCGGATCGACAAACGCTGTCTTTGAACATGATCCCCCGTTACAATGTTAAGACAACTGACAACGGTAACCCTCCGACTTTTAAGACGACACCCCGTTGCTGTACGTATATAACCGTGTGTGTATATGTTCCATAGATGTATACAGGTCTGTGTAGATATATTGGACGTGAAAAGAAGTGTATTGTAAATTGTTTTTATATTGTTAATTGTTTTTGAATTGTAAGTGTACATATATTGTAAAACTGTAGGGTTATGGCTACCACCTGGCAATCAGCCAATTGTAGCCAAATAAATATTATTAATTATTAACTGACGACCGTACCCCGCTACGTTCCACCGGGAGCAGTAGTCTGGGGGCGTGGCGCGGTGCGCTGCGGCGCGTCTTACCTGTCTCGCGGTCGATGGAGAAGTAGCTCTCAGGGTTGCCGGCCGTGATGCGGAAGCTGAGCCGCTGCTCGGGGTCGCGGTCGAAGTCCACCGCGCGCAGCTGCACCACCTGCTTGCCCGCGGGCGAGTTCTCCGCGATGGACGGGTAGTAGACGGGCTCCTCCGTCAGCGGCGTGTTGTCGTTCTCGTTCGCCACCGCCACGTACACCTGCCGCAACAACGCACGCATTGCTCACGCACTGCCACTACACGAATACACGTCACAATACATTGTAAGTAATAGTTATTTATGCACCAAGGGCGTTATAAGGGTTTTCATAACAGAGCGGCAACAAAATATCCGAGGGACTTTGGCTTGATGGCTTGTTGTTGCCCGACAACATTAGAATCCTTATAACACCCTTGGTAAATACACAATTTTATTTTTTATATCATTTTAATTATTCAGAGTTACTTATTTACTAATTAACTAGATGTGAACTTTTCTCGGTTTGTCTTTTCATACTTCCCTTCCACAATTCCCTTTCATAATTCCAACGGTAAGAGAACATACAGCATCATTCAAATGTTTTCATATTTCCTCGTAATCACGATTCTTTCGATTCAGGTGAGTTATTCAGTGTATATCGATGGCAATACCAAGCTATTACGTGGTAGTAAGAAATAAATCCTTTTTTGTATTCCAGCATTATCCACGACCTAATTCGTTACAAGAAATCGTTGATAAAAGGACATCTTACGGCACAAATGATAAAGTATTTGACGTTTACGGCAGGAATAATTGCGTCATCGCATAATCTGCCAATCGTAGGAGAGAATCGGGCGAAATAGTGGTAAACGGAACTGCTGACCATCGTTTTTATCATGCAGACGTCAAATACCCTTTAAGTCACAATAAAGTTGTTTCCCAAAATTAACTTCGATTCTCTTAATCATTCATAATGTTGTAATACAAAAAATATAGTTTGAAACTCGTTTATATCGTTGCTTTATTGCTTTCGTACAAATTTGAAAACTCACTCTTCACATCGCTCGTTTTCAAAACGTGTACTCGAGCAATAATGATTTTCTTCGAACAAGGAGTCATGAAAAGCATTAAATTACTCACGCGCAAATATTTTATCAATGAAGATAAAGAGAAATCTCAATCATATGAGAGACGAAACTTGACGTCATCCAGTTACACCACACACATCGATATCTCATAGCAACTGCCGAAGCGCCGTGGCGTTCTTCGGTATAGGCAACCCACCACACACTCGCGTATTACGGCACGAAAGCTCTTCGGCCCCTCGCTTTACCCTGGCCCCTCACACGCAACACTCACTCACTAGGGTTTCATCATCTAGTAGTGAATATTCGAAAACGGATTAGGTTAAATTTGAAGTGCTTTTAATAATTAGCAAATGAGTAATGAAGCGAGGTGGACGCCATGAGAAGGAACAGTAACAACCTAGCCCTGGGGTGCTAAACTTACAAGGCCACAGGGGCAAAAAATAAACTATTCAATTTGGTGGTAGGTCACATACCTGGCTTTTCTGAAACGGGAGGGGGGTTGGAATTATGCGAGATAACAAGTCGCACCATGCATAACGCAGTGCCATACATTGGGATGCTTTTAAATGTCCAGATTTACTACACAAAAATCCTAAAATATAAACTTAGACTATGTATACATTACAGGATGTGTTAACCCCGACAGGGCGCTGGATGGAAGGGACTTTCACAATTTACTAATAAGCTTTTGCGGGCCACAAGTAATGGCTCTGCGAGCCGTATGTGCCGCCAATTGGACAAACCTGATCTAGACCGATGACAGCTGCACCTTACCAACTGAAGCCTCCCTCACAATCAAATTTCAGATTGGTTGTCACAAAGTTTGCTGCATTTCCGCATAATTTTGCTTCAGAGTCAATTTTGCACTCTTCGCATTTTAATAAGAGAAAATATTAAAATTATGTAATTACAACATTAAACATTAACGTAATTTGATTGCACGAGGATTTCGAAGATAAATGTTTAGAAGATTTGAAATGTAATCATATGGTCGTTACATTGTCGTTCTTTGCAGATTTAGTAATAATCCTATTTCTCGAAAAGAAGATTTATGGACGGGCATTATTGGTGGCAATTTCCAAGCCACTAGGAAAGAAAATACCGGGAAAGAAACAGGTGAATACTTCTACAAGACAAAAGCACTTCAAATTTTGACTCTGTGCCTTTTCGTTTACACCTGCTACTTATGTGACTATGCAGCTAGTGTTAGAGCGCGCCAGCGTAGCGAGTGTTTCGAGATGTTCGAGTGTTCGATCGCACGTCCGGGCGTACACGCGCGCTAGTGCCTTGAATGGCGGCCGCTCGGCGCATTGACCCGGCGGCGATCGGCACGAGCTCCCAATCCCGAGCCCGCCCTACTGAACGGCTTGCTTTCCCCATCGTCCCCCCGCCCCACATGGCAGAATACACAAAAGTGTTGTCGCAGCCGTCAATCACCTCTTCTTCCTCCCCCTCACGCTCTCTGACTCCCCGGACATGAAAAATATCTCGGGCGTTGACTCGGCCCGCCGACTGACACGTGTCGCTTTCATGTCGCCGCATTCCCGTGTGTATATACGCGGGCGGGAGGAAACCCCCCGGGGGAGGAAACGAGGCGGGGGTGGATGTGGGGGGCGGGGAGATCGCGTGTGTTTGGACAGGCGGGCTACCTTTCTTCGAGGGGCGACGGCCAGCACGTGAAGCGTGCTCCAACGCCGTAAGGTCGGTCGGACGGGCTCCGTGGTATCCGGTAGGCCGGGCGGTCCGAAGCCGTCGTTCTCTTTTGTCCATATAGAGCCTCGGTTGCGCGCGCGCGCGTGTATGTTTACGGCAAAGCGAGATGGAGACGAGCCGGGGGCGGGGCCTAGGCCGGCGATGGGAAGGGGGCGGGAGGGCACCGGACGCGGGTCGCGAACTCTCCCACGCTTCCGGCCGGCCCGGCCCCGCCGGGGGCTCCCCGCGGGGGGCCGGGTCGGGCCGGAGCCGGGGAATCCCCGAGGGCTTCTTCGTAGTTTACCGTCCGGCCGCGCGAGGCGCAGTCGGCCCACGTGCGCGCGTAACGAGTGCGGTGCCCCGCGCCCGGCCAATCATCCGTCTACGCCTCGCTTGTTATGCGGCCCCTCGCTCGCCCCACGGGCCCCCCGCCCCCCGCCCCCGAGGTCACTGCCCAGATTTCGGGGGTGCGCCCGGCGTCGCTGAGTAATCGGCTTGTGTGATCGGAATTGCTACATTCATACGACAGTAGCTGCTACTACGAGCAGTTAACCCGCTACAATGTTCGTCCCAGAACGTTCAGAACTACTAAAACGAATTCAAATTTTGTTCAATTTTCTGATCTACGGAAAATGCAATATTAAGAAAAACTACATTTAACTCGTATCACGTTTTCACTGTTATTTACACTTTCAATAAAATAAATACGTTTTTAAAACCACACAAAGTTTTTCAATATTTTATCCCATAATTTCAAAATTAATAAGAGTTGAGATAATTTGAATCAATAAAATTTACATCAATATCTTGTTTACACATCCCTTCACATTTCCAACAAAGTTCCGTACGTCGAGGACTATCATAATGACGAGCTCAACCGTAATCACATTTTCTCGCAACGAAGTTCCTCTTCAACCTCCAGAACTAGGATGTAATTTTGTTTCCAGTGGGGTACCGTCGATGTTTACTGTTCGTGGGTAGGGGAGGCAACAAGGGCGCATTATACGGACGAGAGCTGCCGCGAGAATGGCTTACAACACGTCAAGTGCTAATAAGCAGATGTAACGCAGGGGCGACGCGCTGCACTTAGTCCTCATCATGCGTAAATTATTCTCGTACGTCTGTCGTAATGATGATCACTGTTTTACAACGCGACTCGTCCTTCACATTAGCGTTCTGATTTACGCTGTCGTCTGTTTCATGAGCAAGTAATGTGAACATCGCACCTGACATCATCCACGCGTACGTGCACCACGGATTCTGCATTCCAAGTGGGGATGTTTCGAAAGTTAGAGACATCAAGCCGTGTCTCATAACGGCTAGGCTTCGGTCAATAAATTATTTCCATTTAGATTTCGAGGGCATCAAACCATGTCACATAACGGTAAGATATCGCTTAATAAACTATTTCCATTTAGAATTCGGCCACTGCTTTTTATAACAAAACTCTTCCTCATTTTGATAGTGTTCCGAAAGTTTTTTTCAATAATAATTTTTCGACCTAATGTCGAAATTAATCCGAATGCTACAGAACTTCGATATCTTCAGATTTCTGACGACTTATTCTCGTTTCAGTCAGAAACCTCAGACATCTTTCAATTACACTACGACTCCTCTCGAAACGTGAACCCTCACTTTCGATTTCAACAATATATATCTGTAAGAAGTTTCGAATTCGCTCACACCTTTTAAACGGTTTTAATGCTTTCGGTTTGATCATTTGAATTGTCGAAATGGCTAGGATAACGCAGGAAACATGCAAAGAGAACGATTTTTTCACAAAAAAAAAAAAAAAAAAAAAAAAAAAAAAAAAAAAAAAAAAAAAGTCTTTCCACGGATTGCCTAGGTAATACACAGTATTTACAAATTAATTAACAACTGACATATCCAAATTCATATTAATGTACGTTATAAAAACATGTTCAAATATATCACCACATGCAAAACATGGAATAGAATGATGCAAGAAAGCAAAACCATGCATGGTATTGTAAAATGCTACATTCATGTTTTCACAAGTTTCAACATGTTTTACGATAATGAAATGGAAGAATATATATACTTTGGAAGATTAGAATGCGAAAGCTAATACTTTTCTTCTGCTTTTTTTAAGAATATAAATTTTTTTAGTTTTTTAGAATTCCTGTTTCTCTAGACAGAAAGTTGAACTTTTAAAATGTTGCCATTCACAGTTAGGCTTCTTTTGTGTTTTGGTCTGGGTGCAGTTCAGAAATGAACTTCAAAGTTAATTTATGGCAAACTGTTTTGAACACGTTATTTGAACAGAAAAAAATAATGAATTGAAATAAAGAAAGCACTTATCTCGACATCATGATCAAAATATTCCAGAGACAAGAATTCAAGTCTAACGGGCAGTACGAATAAATGAACGGAATATGAATTTTAAAGTCGTAATAATTATCTATTCAACTTTGTATTACTTCTGTCAATTAATTATTTTAATTCAAAATTAGTATTACCATAATAGTTACTGCCAATAAACAATGCTTTAATATGGTAAATTTGCCACTAAAATGCATTAGTTGGAAATTTACAGGTTTCATTATTCATTCATCAGTGTTTCTATATTGGGGATACTTCTTTCATGGAATTCTCTGACCATAATAATATACTTTGATTAATAGTGGCGCCTCAAGGTGACGAGCTGGAAGGTCGAAGGGACATTGTCGTCCAATCGCAAGCTCAGATACCAAACATTTAAATCGTAACGAAGCTCCCGATTGGACGGCAGTGCCCCCTCTTCGTCCAGCATGTGAGCCTTGAGGCGTCACAGAGTATAGCTGGAGGCAGAAGGCACTACTACTACTCTAGAGGCAAAAGGCACTAGTAATCTAGGGGCAGCAGCGCAGCGCCGCGCAGCGCCCCGGCGGCCAGTGGGCGACGCACCTCGGCTCGACCTACCTCCTGGCGGCCGTGCAGCGGCACCACGCCGTGGTCCTGGGCGAACACGCTCAGCCAGTAGTGGCTGCGGCTCTCTGCGTCCAGCGGCACCAGCGTGCGGATGTGCCCTGCAACCACAACGCACAACGTCACGCTCTGCGGCCGCGGACGCTCCACGCAGAGGGGGCGGGGGCGGGCGACAACAGCCCGTCACCCGCCCCCGCCCGCACCACCGCGGCACTAAAAAGCCAGCGGCGCGGTGGCGGCGCAGACCGCACGCTGACAAATTTCCTGAAAGTCGCCAATTGCTTCCTCGAGAAAGAAAGAGTCGTTTGTGTCATGTGAATCGTTTCAAACGCGAATGGTCACGATTATATCAAAACATACATCAGAGAGGAATTAATTTTATTATAGTTGATTATAGTTGCTGTTATGAGCCCAGGTCTGGGAACACCGCTGGCTGGAAAAGTCAGAAAATCCGATTCTAAAATGCCATATACATACATATTGCACTGACCATGAGAGTAGTCAATTGTATTGTAATCAATTGTGAATACGATATTGTTATTACCTAGAGTTTTGAAGATTCAAATACACTTTTACACAAATACACAAACACACTTACACAAATATTTTATCTTAGATATTGTAATAGAAATCAATCAAATACAAAATTCAGTGTAGAGCTTATGCATAGAACATGTAAATATATGAAAAAATTCCGTTGGAATTTCATTATCGATCAGAATACAATTTTTTAACTATTCTTGATAACCAATACCAACAAATTTTTAAGTTCAGTCGTGCACTCAGAGCACAGTGATCAAGCACATCAACATAGACCTGAGCTAGAAAGTAGCGTCTGCGAGCAAGCTCAGGAGTAAAGGTGCTAGGCAGCGGGCCTTTTTTTGAATACACATTTATTTATGAAAGAATGTACATAAATTACATCAAAGGTTGGTCAACTTAAAATTAAACTTAAATTCTAACCTTTGGCGGTTGAATGTTTGAGAAGAACTAGGATACTCGAGTAGAAAGTCTGAGGAAATGGTTTCGGATGATCCGTAATTTGTTGATGTGGGTAGCGGGCCTGGAGAGAGGCAAGTTGACGAAAGCATCGGGGCAGAGAAGGGGGAGGGGCGCAGAGCGGTTGACGAAGGCCGGGGCGAACGGGCGAACCGCCCAGCGGAGCGGCCACGGGGGCGGCGAAGTCTGCGTGGGCGGCGTCCGGAAACGCGGAAACGAAAGCGACGAAGACGTCTGCAGCAGGTGCGCGGAGAAGAAGAGCGTAGCAGGGCGTGGCGGGGCGTGGAGGAACGTGGCTGGGACAGGAGGGGCGTGGCGTATCGTACCGTGGCGCGAGGCGTGGAGGGACGGGGTGAGGTGAGGAGGGATGGGCCGGG